AAAAACTCAATGCTGATGAAAAATTTTAATAGGGTATATGGGTCGGGTTTTATTCGTCTTTTCGTTGTCAACGCATAGAAAAAAAATCATCTCAATCAGAATTAAAATGAAAAAGTTATAGCATTTTTAAGAATAGAAAAAATACTGTTTATTAATTTGAGTTCGAGTGTCTGAGCTCGAGTTTAAGGGGAAACTTGAACTCGAATTTTAATCATAAACTTAAAAGAACATGAATTCGAATAAAATTATAACTCAAGTTACTTTTTTTTGAGTTTTTCACTCAAAAGAACAAGTTTTAGAGTAACAAGCACCTTAGATTTGTAACTTTAGAATCACCAAAACCCGCTAAGGGTAAAACGATAATTTTTTTTAATAGGGTATATGGGTCGGGTTTTATTCGTCTTTTCGTTGTCAACGCATAGAAAAAAAATCATCTCAATCAGAATTAAAATGAAAAAGTTATAGCATTTTTAAGAATAGAAAAAATACTGTTTATTAATTTGAGTTCGAGTTTCTGAGCTCGAGTTTAAGGGGAAACTTGAACTCGAGTTTTAATCATAAACTTAAAAGAACATGAATTCAAATAAAATTATAACTCAAATTACTTTTTTTTGAGTTTTTCACTCAAAAGAACGAGCTTTAGAGTAACAAGCACCTTAGATTTGTAACTTTAGAATCACCAAAACCCGCTAAGGGTAAAATGATAATTTTCAAAGGTAAAACCGTCCCTCGAGAATTGGAAACTCGAAACTAAACTTAGAAGTCCCTAAAGGACTAGAAGACTAGAGGTGACCCAACCACGTTAAGGAGTCCAAGTGAGCCCAAAAGCCCAAGTGGGAATTAGAGTATTCTTTAAGTTTACCTAAGGATATCCACTAGGTGACTAATTTAAAGTTCAAGCTCAACAGGCTCAAGCCCTATCTGTAGAAGTGCTTAAGGCTAGGGTAAGCCCAAGGAAATTTTAGATAGGGTAACCTATATGTGACCTTAGAGAGTACCATGAGAAATAAACTTAATTAGTTTTCAAAGCCATTAGAGGATTAGTGAAACTTAATTGGATAATTAATTAATTAATCAAGCTAATTAATTAGTTAATGGTAGAAAGTAGGTGTTTACCTAATCAAATTTATTTTGAAAATTAACAAACTTAATTAAGTATTTGATAGAGTTAAATTATTAGTTAATTAATTAATGAAAACTTAATTAATGTGACTTACCTAGATAATTAATTAATCAATTAAGTAAATTAATTAATTAATTAAGGATAAAGAGATGGATATTTATTTAGCAAAGAATAATTATCCTAAGTCAGTTAATGAAAGTTTAACAGAGACTAACTAATTGATCGATTATAATGTTATCCATTAATTCAAATGTAAAAAAGGAAATTAGAGGAAGGATAATCAGTTCAACTTTTCCTGATAAAGGTTTAAGAGACTAACTCTCTAAGTCCTAAGCATACTAAATTATATAATTTGATAATTAACTAAGTAATTTAAACTTATTAATTAATCTAAGACGTAAAGAATGAACTAAGGAAAGGAATTAAATGCAAAGAAAGTTTGAGAGACTAAGTCTCTAAGACCTATACTTGAAAATTATAAAACTCAATAACGAACTAACAGTCGAATCATCAATGCTACTAAATACAGAACGAACAACTTTACAAAAGTGATTTGCTTTGGGAAATGCTAAGTACCGGCATCCAGGTGAGTACAAACTCACCTATAGCATGAATGGTTTTAAAATGTTTTGAGAAACTTGCATGCTTGATTGTACTATATTTATTATCGGTGACATATTTGATGATGTGTTTACTATGAATGCCTCTTGTTCAAGTTATATTATATCATCAAGTTTTTGTTACATGATCATAATCACATGATCACTAAAATAAGAGGTTAATGTAATGATGATATTAAGTGTCGTGCCGCCCTCCGATCTTGGGAGATGGGAGGTTAAAATTCCTCCAACCCTTGGTGACGAGAGGTTCACTAGCCTAAGTAGGTAAGACCGCGAATGTCATCAGACGAAATGTTTGGGTAGCTTCCCCAACGTCTCATTGGTCGCGTGCACTTAGTACGTGCACATGGCCCAATAATGATAAATGAAAAATCCATAATAAAGCATAATTGATCATGCATTTTTATTGGTGATGTTATGTTTGAAAAATTGTTTTATGAGGATATTTATACTCGCTGAGCTATTGCTCATCAAATTTGTTCATGTTGTAGGTAAAATGCCTATTGCTCACTGGTGGACTTGACTGCGGATAACGTGTACGGTGGAGGATAGGGCATGGATCACCTTGCAAATATTTTTAGAATTACATTAAAAGACATTTTAATTGAAATGATGGTTGTTTAAATATGGTTTATGATTTTATGCATGCAATCTAATTTAAAGACATGTTTGGTTAAGTCTGTTAATACTGATTAATGTTGTAATCTTATAACGCTTTACTCCAAGTACTTCTATTAGACTTATAAATCGTCTTTACAATGATGCATGATTCAGAAAGGAGTTTTTCAAAGATGTTTTCAAAAAAAAATTCCCAAAATTTTAGTACTTAAAGAAATGGTTTTCAATAGTTAAGAAAGATTTTTCGTGTAAATCATGATTAGTGACAATTCGGGAAGTTGGGTCATTACACATTTTCCTGGTTGTCCCATAATAGTGCCACCAGAGGCACTTGCCTGCCCGAAGTTGGCACTTGTCCATTTGTTGCGGCTTCTCTTTCCTGGGCTCGCCTCTTGGCAGCCTACTGTTTGCTTTCCAAGGAACGTGCGGGTCTAGGGCGAGAACTATTCCCCCTCGTGTTTTGGCTTTCCCCAATTCCTTCAGCATCACCACGCTGTTCACTACGGCTACCAGGTGACTGACCTACTTAGTTAGAGAATCAATATGTCGCTGCATTCTGCCGGGATCATCTTGGGGAGCTCCCAAACCCGCGTCCTCATCATTCCTACTCGCGGGTTGATTTTCAATATTAGGTTGATTCCCAGCCTAATGGCCTTCAGCCTGTTGATTCCCAATTTGCGGATCTCCAATCATTGTATTATCGATCCCAATGGTTTGGTCTTCTTGATTCGCTTGATTTTCAGCCGAACTTCGCGTCTTCCTTGGAGCCATGATAGTGCGATATTCTTTGACCAGAATCTTCAATAAACCAGATATTCTAGGTTTAGTCCCCAGTGGAGTTGCTAATTGTCGACTGTGAAAATTCGTCAACTCAGGATTCACGAATCTCTCAGATAATTAATTCTTAAGAACAGTAAATAACGAATGCAGTAAATGCACTTAATGAAAAATTAAGTGTAAAGATATCCGAATTTATAGTTGTTCACCCTCGATTTGAGAGCTAAGTGGATGGGAGAGAATAATTTCACTATGAAGAGGGAAAAAATTTACACAGACTAATGCTCATAATGAAATTTAATAGGATTTTCTAGTTCTTAACCCCTTATTTATAGTTTCCTAAGTTTCTAATTTACAATATAATTTCCTCTGAACAAAACCATACGAGACAATTCTTTCTCGTTAAAGTTATAAATCACCATCAGTTAAATATGTTCGTTTGGTAGATGGATCCAGAATTATGATTCTGGATCCTGATTTAGAAACAGTATTTAGTTTGGATGATTCTGAATCATAATTCAGAATCTGATGTAATATTTTAAACCAAAATCACTCATGATTCTAAAATCACCCCCTCTTGATTCAAGGTGATTCAAATCTCTGATTCTGAATCATAGTTTCAGAATCATAATTTAAACCCAACATTATGAATAATGATTTTGATTTCTGAATCATGATTAGAATTACCTTAATTTAAATTATCATACCAAACGAACTTATCTCTTTTTTCTGATATTTTAGGGGTTGTTCTTTTACATTTTTGAGTTAAAGTGATTTGAGTGATAATTTTGAGTTGAGTTTGAGTTATAACTTGAGTTGAAGTTGTAACTTGAGTTTGTGTTTGAATGTGCACATTTGAGTTATGATTTGAATTGAGAATCTTTTTGAGTTTGTGTTTGGGTGGGTCAAAACTTAAATTTGTATTTATATAGTATTTTAATAAAAACTCAATGGTGATAAAAAATTTTAATAGGGTATATAGGTGGGGTTTTATTCATCTTTTCGTTGTGAATGCATAGATAAAAAAATTATCTAAATCAGAATTAAAACGAAAAAATTATGACATTTTTAAGAATAGAAAAAATACTGTTCATCAATTTGAGTTCGAGTTTCTGAACTCGAGTTTAAAGGAAAACTTGAACTCAAGTTTAGCCCCAAACTCGAGTTTTAATTCGAGTTCAAACTCAAGTTCAAACTCAAATTTTACAAAAGAACGTGAACTTGAATAAAGTTGTAACTCGAGTTCAAACTTTTTTTAAGTTTTGTTACAGAAGAACAACCCCTTAAATATTTGAAATATGAATTTTGGTCCTTGAAATTACCCGTGTTGACTAATTCTAAATTGCGTAGCCTCGTCCACGTAAGGTCGATAATAGCCTCAGCGCCCTAACCATCTGTTGACGTGGAATTACCTCTTAACTAATTTTGGGCTCAAATGGGCTTCATAACGTTATTAGGCCTTACTTATTGGGTCGGCTGTGTAACAGTTGCTATGTCAATGACATAATAAAAACAGCTTGTCTCTCTCTCTCTCGCGGTCAGAAGACGAAAAAGGAGATGTCTAGAATGAAGTTACCATTATTTGCACGACAGAAACCTAATATAATGCTCAAAAGTGTTCAGATTCATTTTTCTGAACACAGAAACAAGTGGAAAAGGGAGTCAAATACACAATCCCAGTAAACTTATCAGAATTCTTCTACAGCAAAAAAAAAAAAATTTGGTGAGAGCTCGGGGGGTGGATCGAAATCCAAAGACGAGCTGAAAAATTTGCTACTATCCACGTTTACTCTCTTTAAGTTTGCAGAGCCATTCTCCAGATTCTGGTCAAGAATGTTAAAACTACACGTGGACGTTTGGTGAGAGCTCGGGGGGTGGATCGAAATCCAAAGACGAGCTGAAAAATTTGCTACTATCCACGTTTACTCTCTTTAAGTTTGCAGAGCCATTCTCCAGATTCTGGTCAAGAATGTTAAAACTACACGTGGACGCAGGTCAGGTAAAACTGGGGAAGTCGAATTGTCAGCAAACTCGAATTTTCCGTCTCTCCCTGACATTTGGAACTACAGCTGCCGAAGCATTGTCTCTCTCTGCTAAACATCTCTTGTATGGCACAAACCCCTTCCTAGAATTAGAGGGCTCAACACTCACTTTGGTACAAGGTTTTTGGGGAAAGGAATCAACTGCCTCTAAGTTTTTATCTCCTGCAGTCTCCACCCCACTAGCCGAGCCATCGTTAGAACCGGTGGAAGATCTTTCCTTGGGAATATCCTTGTCTTCCTCTCTGTGTTCCGAACAAGAATTCCGAGGTGTTTGATCTAAGGTTTGGTTACATGCCGCAAGGTAATGGAATGGGAATTGGTATAAAGTCCACCAAAGCATAGGAGAGTTAGCTGTTTCAGTATTACAACTCTCTTTCGGTTGTTCCAGTTGATTACAATTACTAACGGCTCCACCAAGGGACAAATTTGTGTCTAATTGATCCGAAGATAATGTTAGAACAAGCCCTTCATCAGTCTTTGATGTTTGGGAATTCTTTGCCCCAGGAGGAGATTCTTTCTGGAAGCCTGATAATAAAACTGTCCTTCCAAAAAGCTTGAAACTTGCTGAAGCCGCTACTTCAGCTTCTTCTTCTTCTTCTTCTTCTTCTTCTTCTTCTTCTTTAGTGTATGAGGCATCTTTGGCACCCAGTTCAAATTTCTGTACGTGCAGACCAGCAGAAGGGAGTGTCAGAATCCTAGCGACAATTTGAATTTAAAGTTCATACATAACAAAAATTCGCAAATGATTAGCTACACGAATCATTGTACCTTGGACAACAAATTCTCCAAGGTCAAAGACGAAGATAAATGCTTTGCTGGCAAAGATCTCCTCTCTTCATCAGATGAGTTGCCAATCATGTACTCGTTCTCTATTTCGGTAGGAGACTGACTGATTGAATTCATGTCAGTAGTACATGATGCTGATGAAGGAGACCTGTTATGCTGACCCGAAGCTACTGAGCCCAATGCATCAGATCCCTGACAGGACAAGACTGAAGTGGGAGATTTTGTTCCTTTATCTGCAGCCGATAAATTTGGGGAAGGCGACCTTTCGGGTTGATTTGAGACCAATATTCCATTGAAAGACTCGGCTGATTTACGAGGGTAAGGATGCACCGGCTTCCTTTTAGGCCTCGGAGGAGGAATCTCAATTCGCTTAATGGAGCTCTCAACAGTACCAGTGGAACCCCGAACTACCTGAAAAAACCAAGAAGAAAAGGCATGTAAGCATAGAAGACAGGATCAACGAGACAACCATTATACCAAAACGAAGTTGCGGAATCATGCCTCATGAAAAAATTATATTGCCAAACTAAAATGAGAATACTGAATTAAGATATTAGACCTTAGAAAAGAACTTTTGAGCATGACTTCTAATCTGAACAGCAGTTTTGGTACCTACATGTTCTGCATGGAGATGAAGAGGAACTTCACATGACAGGAAAGCCAAGAAAGAGAGAACTTGTGTAAGTTACAGGTTTTAAACAAACTTACCTTCAATTTGACGCCAACCACGGCCATACAACTTCAAGGCTTCAAGGAACTTCTGATGCTCTTCCTCTGTCCATTTTTCTCTTTGTTTTGTAATTGTATAAGGCTTCCTAACCTTTACAAATTGGTGAAACGGAGAATAGCTCATACCAAAAAAAAATTCTATTAAAAAAAAAAAAAAAAAAAAAAAAAAAAAAAAAAAAGCCTAAGTGGAGAGTGATGAGTAGAGTGAAACCTTGGGCGCAGTGTCATATATCTCGTTCATTTGGTTGTCTGACTCACATTTTGAATCACCCTTTGAACCATTCACAACAGAGGTTTTCAATTCCATGCCTTCACTCTGTTAATGTGTATAATTGAAGAGAAGAGAAAAGGGAAAAGCAAAATTAGTTGAATCTTTTGTTTCCACTATCAGAAGACAATCAAACAAAGAAACTCTTGCTCACTAGGATATGATTCCACAATTAAAGCATAAATAACAACACTGAAAACTGACATCACTTTCCAAAAAAAAAGAAAAAAGAAAAAAGAAAATCACAAAAACCAAAGATGGCCCTATGTAAAACAGGTGCAGAGTCCACTCCAACCATACACAAACAAAAAAAATTGACAGAAAAGACCAATAAGATGTTTTCATGTCAAAGTTTTACCAATTTGAGACAATCTACCAATTTACAAGTTTTACCAGTTTGGTGTCGGTAGAATCTCAACGTGCCTAAATAAATCCCAATTTGAATCACATCAGGACCGTACAGCTCCATGACAAAACTGTAAAGAAACACAACTGATTTGCCTTGGAACAGATTCAGCGCAAACTAGGAGATGACAGAGTTTTAGCAACGACTAGCGTTGGTAAATTTGTCGTCTTACTAAGAAAAAACTATATGTATACACACACACACACACACACACACACACACATACAAGCTATCCGATCATTTCCACAGTGATTAGCAGAAGCATAAAAAAATTTATTAAAAAAAAACTTTAATAAGAACAAGAATTCGAAACTGGCATGTAATACAAGCAAAAATGTTAAGCATATCACTTCTATAACGAATTAAAAAAAAAAAAAAAGAAACAGCTTATCCATATCCGAAATTTCTTGCTTCTAGAAAGAAAAACAGAATAAAATGAAATTTCATACCTCAACAACCATCGCTGCAAAATCAAGACCAACTCTTCAACAATACACCCACAAGACCTGAAATTTCATTCCTCAGAAGTTAAAATCAAACTCCTAAGCTCTTTCTTTCATAATTTTTCCCTTTTTTTTTTTTGCAAGTTTCATTTCTCTTCAACATTGTCAAAAAAAAAAAAAAAACGAGAAAAATAAAACAAAAACAAAAAAACAAAAAAAAAAACACCAAGTACGAAAAAATTTCCATATTCATGTCGATACGTAGCAGATCAATCAGAGACTCACCTCCAAGACTCTCGGATAATCGAAATTTCCGATTTTCTCCGGCCACTGTTCTCTCGGATTTTTTATTTTCCTTTTTCCCGAGAAAAAGGAAGGGGAAAAGGAAATGATTTATTTATATATTGGATAAAAGGGAAAAAAAAGAAATCTTCAGGAACGAAGAAGAAGAAGAAGAAGAATCAGAGGATGATAAAGGAGAAAGTAGAGAGAGAAAACGAAGAATAAAAAAAAATGTTAGAGGAGAAGGAAAATGTACAGATTTGAAGAGCTATATAACGAGGAGGAAGAAGAAAAGCATTGCAAAGAGGGCAGTGAAAAAGCAGGGGATGCCACGTCAGATATTTCTATTTTATGCTATTTTTATTTTTATTCTTGGGTCTTGGTAGCCACACTGTTATTATTTTTTTTTTAGAATTATCCACAGTGTTATTTATTATAGTTTATAATTTATAATTATTATTAGTATTTTCTTAAAAGATGAGCTCGTTTGGTTCGCTAATTCGAGTTTTTAATTTGAGTTGAGATGTGATGTTGTGTGAGAATTTTTCACTGTAGAAAAAAAGTTAGATGTGACTGTTTCTGAGAGCCTTATTGTAGTAAAACTCGAATTCTAAACTCGAATCAGGAAAAAGAACGGACCGCTTAAATTAGTATTACGCACTTCTAACAAATAAAAGAAATTTATATTAGGTCCCGTTCATTTTACCGATTTGAGTTTAGAATTCGAGTTTTGCTATAGGAAAAAGCTCTAAGAAACACTCACATCTAATTTTTTTACTACAGTAAAAAACTCTCATATAAAGTCACATCTCACTCGAATTAAAAACTTAAATCAGCGAACTAAACGGGTCCTAATAAATTTTTTTTATTCAGCAAAAAAACGTTATTTAACAATAATAGACGGTCCAAACCGTCTGTTATAAATGGGAGTTTTTTTTTTTTCGAGTCGTATTAAAACTTTCCAACTTTATATTATATCTTTTTATATTTTTTTTTAATATTTTATATTAATCAATTAATATAATAAAGGGCAATGGAAAAGTCGCGAAGGAGCCTGGGAATATGTGGCTGAGAACGCAGGAGAGCCTCGACACGCGGCACTTTCTTGTGACCTGTTTGTCTCCTAGTAATTTTACCATAATATTCTTTCTTTGTATGTGTTTATTTTTTTAATTTCTTTTATTTGTTTTGCTGGAATTTTTAATTTCTTGTTTTAGGTTTGGTTGATATTTTTGTGGAAGATATTTAAAGTTGAAGGGATAAATCTTATAAATATTAGGATATCGACCAGAGATTTTCTACATGTAGACAGAGTTTGTAGTCCACGCGCCTAAGATTTCCCAATAACGGTTTTTTTTTTTTTTTTTTTTTTTAAAAAGGCTTTTGGCCCCTTTTTCCTTTTTTTTTTTTTTTTTTTGCTAAAACGGCTTGTGGCCCTTTACTGCATAGTTTCTTCTTTATCCACTTTACCTGTTAGCCAATAGCATTTGTCCACGTTCAAGGGCATCAGGAATCTACTAAAGGATAGAGAGTTTAGATTATAAAAATATCTCCCTTCACTTGACTTTTTTTTTTTTCTTTAGCCAAAAAGGGGGGAAAAAAAGGGTTATTTTTGTGCAGTGAAAACAAAAAAAAAATAAAAAACCTTACTACAAAAATATCTTTTTGTGTTGACTTATGAATATAATTAAGTTATGTTTATTTCACTGATTTAAATTTAGAATTTGAGTTAAATTATAGTACAAAATTTTCAAAAATATTCATATTTATTATTATTATTTTTTACTATAATAAAAAATTCTCACATAAAGTCACATCTCAATTCGAATTCAGTGAACTAAACGAATTCTAACTAATCATTTATTTGTGTATATTATTTTTGTATTGACTTGTAATTAATATCTTAATAAATTTAAAGTAACATCTGAAAAGATATCCCTTTGAATAGAAAAAAATAATAATGACTGATCACTACTATCAACAAACATAAAAATATAATAAGTAGAGACTCCGGTAAAAGAATGAAGAAAGGGTTTTAGGTGTAGTATTAAAAAATTTGTCAAAGCAATTACTGCAGTGTTTGGGGATGAGTAATTGAGATCTCCAAACAACGATGATTAATGGTGAAGATTAATGGTGGTCGTGGCTTTCCTGGAATGTTGGGAAGCATTGACTGTATACCTGTTGCATGGCAAGGTATGTATTCTGGTCACATCCATCCATGAACCAACAATTATTTTGAAAGCTGTGGCTTCATATGATGTTTGGATATGGCATGCATCCTTTGGGTTACCAGGATCTCTTAATGAAAAAGCTACTAATTTCATTACATAATCGAATTACATGATTGTACTACATAATTACATAAGGATACGTTTGATTCATGAATTAGAATCATAATATTAGAACCATTTTTTATTTACGTGTATTTTTTATAAGGAAAAATACTGTAACGAACCATGAACTATGATTCAAATCGGGGTACGAATCTCCCGATCAATGGACATTATTCTCTTATGGAATTAGAACTGCCATTAGCTCTTAATTTTTGCAATGATTTCCATCTGGAGGCTGTGCTTTTAAAGTAGTATCAATGGACATTATTCTCTCTCTCTCTCTCTCTCTCTCTCTCTCTCCTCTTCCTGTTGTGCTTTAAGTCGAAACTTCTCTTGCTCAAAATAAGCCAATATTTCTTTGCCAATATTTCACAGATTTTTTATCATTACCTTGTATTGCATCAACGCTGATGATGTTAAGCCATGCAGATACGAGAAGGCAGTCTTTCTTCAACTGAAAGTTGCGGGACCTTTAGGGTGCGTTTAGAATTGTTTTCAAAACATTTTTATTATTTTGTATGAAAATGAAAATAAAAATATTTTTATTTTCATTTTAGAATCATTTTTAAAAATACGTTTGGTAATTTTATTCAGAGATTGATTTTAGTTTTAAAAAAAATTGAAACCGCGTTTGGTGGTTTAAGTTTTGAAAACATGTAATAATATATTAAATAAATAATATTATTAAATATATTAAATAAATAATATTATTAAATATATTAAATAAATATTATTATTAAATATATTAAATAAATATTATTATTAAATATATTAAATAAATATTATTATTAATATATATTAAATAAATATTATTATTAATATATATTAAATGAACGTTAATAGGGGGGCAGTCGAAGACGAGCGGCGGCGG